GAGAAATGCACATAATGTATCCTGTATGATACAAATATAACACACAAAAAGCCATATGCCTGTGTTGGTGCCTGAATTTAAATCTGTCTTTTAGAAAAAAAGATGTATGTCTCTCTACAGTGGTTTGTGGATCATACGTCATCCTCCTTTCTCATAGTTAGAAAACACACTGGAGAATATTACTGTTAGTGGCCTTAATGTTCTATTCTGGACATTCTCCTAGGTCAAAAACCAGTTCTCTTAACTCTGTTTTCATACTGAGTGATGTTATGACCTTGTCCGTGGCCACGTGGTAAATGTGTCTTTTGTTTCAGGGACAATTGACATTCAAGGATGTGGCCATAGATTTCTCTCAGGAGGAGTGGGAGTGCCTGCACCCAGCTGATCGGAAGCTGTACATGGACGTGATGCTGGAGAATTACAGGAACCTGCGCTCTCTGGGTGAGGCTGACTTCCTTCCAGAACTCCTACCCCACCGCAGGGTATGATGAAGTGTTTCCTTCATCAGTACAGCATCTCCTGGGAGCTTGTGCTCTGTGTGGTAGTGTTAGATCCCGGCTCTGAGTACCAACTGGGGATTTGCTGGTGTAGAAAAGAAATCTTCATGATGTCATTCATGATGGAACTCAGGATCTGAAAACATCCCACCTTTTCTAGTAGAGGAAAGGTGCTGTCAGATAACTGTTTTGGAGGAATCCATTTCTAGAATATTGTAATTTTCTGCAATGTTCTTTCCTTTCACCTGAGCATATACTCGATTGGAAATTGGAGACTCTCCATCTAAACTCATGTTTCTTTTACGAACAAACAGATCTTGCTGTCTCTAAGCCAGACCTGGTTACCTTTTTGGAGAGATTGAAGGCGCCCTGGGATGTTAAGCAAAAAAAGGCAATATCCATCCTCCCAGGTAGGTGGGAATGAAGGAGCAGATGACCCAGGTGAGAGGGTCAAAGGTCCCTGAGGAAAGCAGACCTTAAGATGTGGTTTAGGAAGCGCTGCTTCAGTGGAAAGAATGTGAGAAGCCCAGGTTCCTTCCTGTTGCTGTCGCAGAGAGACAGTCCTGTCCAATACGTCCTTGCTGTTATATCCTCTAGAAACTGTTCTGCTCAGTGATCTGGGCCGCATTGCAGTGAGGGCGGATGTCCCTCTGGACTTTGGGGGCTGCCATGGGCTGGTTACTGTTCCATTGTCTCAGAGGTCAGGGCAAATCTGTGCATGCTGCTGAGGAATTCTCCCAGAGACCATTTTTAAAGTTCTGGTCTTGCTTGTTGTAAGAAGTTTGTGAAGGAAGTGGTGGAGGTCCTGGAGTTTGGAGCAGAAATGCCAGGGGCACTGGGGACAGATGTCACATGTTTTCTGCTTTATAATTTCTAATACTAAAGAGGCTTCAACCATGACCCTACAAAGATCAGACTCAGGAATTTCATCTCAGCCCCAGGCACCTCCCTAAGTCAGAAACCTTCAATCTCAGTTTCACTTGAAAATGTCCTTTTGCTTTGTGTGAACTAACTAGAAATTTTGAGTGTCTACTCCCAATTTGTGCATGTAAGAAGCTTAACATATCTGTTTAACTCAAAGAATACTTAAGTGAATTAATTCCGTAGGGGAGTTTAGAATACTGCCCACCGTGTAGAAAGTTCTCCATTGTTCCCTGATTTCTTAATGTCTATCGTGCTATAATTCTGTCTTGTTCAGTCTAATGATGCCTGGGCCTTCTTTGTTTTTCATTTCTGTTTAGATTTTCTCAGAATAGTGTTTTTNTTATATTCCACACTCATGTCACAGACATTCTCTACGTCATCACTGTTTGTGTTTTTAAGAAAGTTTACAGGAATAATGTTTTTAAAGTTTTGAAGTGTGGTAAATTTGTAATGTATTAATCAGGACAAATGACACGCAATTTTTTTCAAAGAAACAGCAGCAATAACTTAATGTTACTGTGTTGTCTTCTCCCTATTGTATTTATAAAATACAGAGTGTCGTCCAAAAGACATTTATGAGATGTACAGAACTGAAAATAATTGTTATTTCAATGACACGAAAATTTCCTTCTCTGTCATTTTTAATATACACACAGTTCCCATGTGTCTGTCTGCCTGTGTCAATAAAATATTCATACTATGTGATGTATTCTTCCTACTTTCTTAAGTTGTTTCCCTTTTTCTCAGTTACAGAAATAGCCATGTAGGTTCATGAGAGTTGTCTATACATATTGGTGCCTGTCATTTTTGAAACATTCTATAGAAAGTTTGGAATAAAACCCAAGCTCGGGCCAGCCGAGTGGCGTGTTGGTTAAGAGTTGGCTTGGGACGCCAGTTCTGAGCAGCAGGGCCCCGGTTTGGATCCCACATGAGGGCCAGTGACACTGCGCCCTCTACAGCTAAGATGGTGAACAACAGCTTGATCTGGAGCTGGTCAGCCATGAGTCACTGGCGATAACTTAGGTTGCAGTGAAGCTGCAGTGGTCTGCCATAAGTTACTGTGAGTGGCTGGCAGCCAGCGTGAGCTGCCAAGAGCTGCCATGAGTGGCTGTCCAGAGGCCGGCTACCGATATGCCTCATCTAGAAGAGTACAATGATAAAGCAACGTGGGCCAGTGAAGCAACGTCCTCCACAACTGGACTGAAGAACTAAAGGTCGGCAACTTGTCTGTTCCTCTTCCCGGATTCCCCAGTGCTGTTCCCCTCCCCCAATTCCCCAATAAAAACTTTAAAAAAAAGAAAACCCAAGCTCTACCATTTACTGGATGCATCAGAAAATATTCCCATACAAGAGGACGTATGATATTGTTTTCAGTTTATGGGTTATGTGCATGACGAGATTGTGTGCATTATAAATTAATATGTAAAGAAAAGTTAGAACCCTGTAGTATACAGTCATTTAAAAAAGGCTTGTATTGCTATGCTTCTATGAGAAGTGTAAATTCCATAAAACTCTGTCAGTTCAAAGTCATGTATGAATTTTTGCCATTTCCTTCCTTTGTGCTAT